GCCACCCACGAGCTCGGCCCGCGGGGTGGCCGTCGCCCTGAACCCTGTGCGTTGCAGGCCCGCGCTCTCCAAGCCAAGATGCAATTTGAAATGTTCTGGGAGCCCCGTTAAAAAGTACAGACAGGCTGGCCGGTTAACCAGTTGGTTAGAGCAGGTATTGTAACACCAAGGTCAGGGATTCAGATCCCCTTACCCGCCAGCTGGGAAGAACAAAAAGTACAGAGAAACGGGTGGAATTTGTGTTAAATAATATGCTTAATTTAATATAACATACCCGAAATATTATTTGAATGTGTAACCAATATTAGAAGTTACTGAGATATATTATTCCTTTTGGGGGGTACTGTCTTCAAAATGCACTGCATACTTTACACAGTCTCATGGCACTAGCCACATTTCAATGCTCAGCGGTCACATGGGCTAGGAGCCACTTGATTAGGTGTCTAGAGGCTACAACCCACCCTAGTAGACGGCCTCAGTGTGGAGGGGGTGGTAATCACCCTGCTCTGTTCAGCAGTATCATAAAGTCATAACCATCCTTGCTCAAAGGGATGCCAGAAATCAATTAGCTCCCTGATTTTTTTTTACCTTGTGACAGTCTTTGTCTTCCTTCAATACCAAAAAGACTAGGAAGCAGACCACAAAGTGCCTCAAAGTGGCACCTTTGGTCCATTTTTTACCAAACTTGTGATGAATGAGATGGTTATTAACCTCTTTCACTTTTAAAATAGAAAAAAAAAAAAAATCCAACTTGCAGACAGCAAGAAAATTTATTCTTTCAAGTCAGTCTCAATTGGATAATATTTCATCTGTTGTCAAAACCCTTTGCTTTATCTTTCTTTTCCTGAATATTTGGGGGGGGGGGAGTCCCTTCCTTGGTCATGTAAGAGACCCAATACATTGATGGGTAGTGGTGACCCAAATCTAAGGAATCGGATGGGTCCAGGCCAAAAGGCAGACAGAACAGTCCTGGTAGCTGCTGCAGGCTTTTCTAAGTTGCCTACTTTTGAAAGTCCTAGTGATCTCCAAGAAGCTCAGATTTCTCCCATCATCGATCCGGCTTCTCAGATTTGGAGAAGAAATGGATCACAGCCTTGTAAAGACTGAATCACAACACAGCAAGAGATTCCCAGGATTTGCATAGAAAACAGGAAGCAACCTGAGGAGGGGCAGAGCCCTCCCCAACTCCAGAAGGAGAGAGAGAGAGAGAGAGAGAGAGAGAGAGAGAGAATGCTCTTCTTTAAGTAGGGGTTGGTGTGATTCTTTTCTGGGGCATATCACCTGAGGTCACATTACTTGCATTTTAGTGGCACCTGCAGGACATCTGCACTGTCTTGGTCTACACTCTGAGCAGTGGTTGGGTCTGGGTGAAACAGGAATATATGTCCTGCAGCTACCCCTCAATCCTCACCTTCCACCCTCTGCATGGGGTTGGTCTGGTGAGCAAACAGAAGTCTGTCTGAGTCCTGGGCAGCTGGTGGCACCTCCACAGAGGACATCCACTTGCCTGCCACCAGGAAAAGAAGGCTAATAGGCCATTCCCATCTCTCTGTGGCTGTTGAACTAGCATGTACTGGGCAGGCCCCTACTGTGTGCCAAGTCCTGGGGGAGGCATATTACATGGCTTATGATCTCATTTTACAGGTGAGGAAACAGAGGCCTGGAGGGTTTATGTTATTTGCCTGGTTGGGGAGAGGCATTCCCCCAAACCCAGGAATTTCCACTATTGTTTTTCGCACTTTGAAAACCAGCATGGGAAGAAAACCAACAGGCTATTTCTTCTCACATTCATTTTTGGGTAGAGAGGAGAATAATCTTGTAAAATAAATGCAGCTGGGGCTTTCTAAGTACACGGGAGCTGGTTTTGAAAATCACTTTGTCTCACTTTGGGAGAGTGAATGAGGCCAGTATTTATACAGAGGCTAGATACTCGGTTTTTCTTTGCCCTTTACACTGTCTCTGGCGTCCACTGGGCAGGCGGATTGTCACCCAGTCCTTTCTCGTGACACAGTTGCACCGAAGGCAGGAATGCATAGCAAGTCCTACTTAGAAGCAGGAAACGTTTCCCCAAAGCCCGAGGATTCTTTTTCCACCTGCCACCCACTGCCATGGCCCCCCGCTATTCCCAGGCCACCCCCTTCCCCATGTGCAGACATGACCCACCTTCGTAGTTTGGCATGAGGCTGTGCCGAGCAGTGTTCACCGGAGGCTCGGAAAGGTTTTTAGCTGGAGACGGGCTGCTAGGCACTAGAGGGTTGGCATAATGCCACTGGCATTCACCACTGGCTGGCAGCGTGCTCAGGAAAAAGCGTGCCACCTCACACGGGGATCCTTGGGGCTGCCCAAACTTGGCCGGCAACATTGGCTTTTTACTGCCGAAGACGTGAGAGTCTAGAGGGAAGTGTCCGTAATGGTAGGAGAAGGGGAGGCTGTAGGATGGTGCATACAAAAGGTCGCTGCTTTCTGAATGGAGCTGCTGTTCTGGGGGAGCCGGAGCATTTGCCGGGGGACTGGCTCTCCAGTTTCCGAGCTGGCCGCATTCCAGTTTGTCCATTTGGAACGAGCTATATTGCTGCATGGCGAAGAAGATGGATGAAGGGCCAGCCAAGGGGCTGCTGGTAAGCTGCCTTCCGGCCCCACAAAATCCACTCCTAAGGGGCCCAACCCCGTCCCAAGGCTGGACCTATGCCCATCACCACTGTGAGGTCCTACCCAGTGACCCACCCCCTGGGTGGAAAGGAATCCCCCACCCAAGCTGACAACACCAGTCACACCAGACATGCTATTTCTGTTAGCTCACAAATGACTTTAAAAAAAAAAAAAAGGGAAGGTTTTCATTCAAAACAATGCTATGGAAATACATGCTGTTGCTCAAACCCAGATATATGTGGATTCTAACAGGCCGATGTGTGTTCCCAACTTAGTGTTCTTTTTTCCTAGACTTGACTAATCCACCTGGGTATCAGCCTTCCCCAGCCTGTGTCGCTACCCTGTAGGCAGGACATCCGCAGGGACCTTGCTTCACTCCACAGGGAACCCTCTGAACGAGGAGATGCCTGCTCTGCTCACAGAGGCTCATCATTCCTTAACATATCCAGGTGTCCCAGGCTCCCGACTAGGTGTCACTGGCACCCCACCCCTGCAGGACATGCGCATTACCTGTGGCGGGTAAGGATTTGTTCTCAGCTTTGTCTTCATCTTCGTATTTTTGGGTTTAGCTAATTTCCTAGTTTCTTGTGAGGTAGACAAGGCGGTCCTCCAGGAGTCTTGGGACTTAGAAGTGGACACCTGGTCCAGGGACAACTGAAGTTCCTTGTATTCAATATCCCTGGAAAGTGAGAGTGGGACGAGTCATGTCCAGCAAGCAGTGGGGGCAGGGCGGCTTCCCTGCACCATTCCCTGAGCAAGCTCATCCCCAGGGTTCCAGTGTGTCATTTCCCTGAGGTTGGATGTGGGTGGGATTTCAGAAGAGGACAGTTCACCCTCCTTGTAAAAGCCACCTACAGCCCCGGGCTTGGCGACCCCAGGAAATGCTGAGCGAGGTTAGTATTATTTGGCAGGACAGAGGGAGGTCAGTGCAGTGCTCTCCAAAAAGACAGAGTTCTCCATAAAGCCCCAAACACATTTCCTGGGGACACCATGGGCTGCTAGGAAAGCTGACAAGGCAAAAAGAAAAGGGCAGAAATACCACTGATAAGTCTACCCACATTCAATTTGGGTATTTCTATGTAGCACCTGGGAGGCAGGGACCCGTCTCTGCCCAAAAGAGCCAACTTGGCACTGTCTTGTTCACAGAAGGCAAGGTCAGCCCAAAGTAGCAGCCCACACCTGGCTGCTCAGCGAGAATAATTAAGGGGCTATAATGTTTTCTGCCCTGCAGTTTTGCCAGAATCATTCTACTTCTAAAACACATAGGGATCTGGCAATCATTCTATGAAGAAACCTAGAGCCTAAATCCTCAATGCATTTAGGACACAAATGACAAACCTTTTCGGGGGGCGGGGGGCGTTGGCAGAACTTCAAGGGCATCAAGTACAGGGCAGATCTGGGTGCAAGGTGAATTCATATACAACAGCCACGGTGGGTGGAGAGTAATACACAGTCCCAGGTAGACTATTTCCTGTTGCTTTGAATGGCCACGAAAGTATTTGCAACTTAACTTGACTTTCCAGGGTTTTTAAGGGGCAAATATTCACCATCATTTGCAACAGGCTATATAGGAAGACAGGGAAAAAATTGGAGATTTCCTCTCCCAAATGGCAGGGGCCTCCAAGATGTCCCAAATGGTTGCGGACATGGATAGCACAAGTTTGTATTTCTGATCCAGGACATACACCCTCTTTGCACCCCGTTTAAGATGGGGGCATCCCCCTCCCCACCCCTGTGCACCCAGGCCCCTCACCTGGGCTCTGTGCTGGGATCCTGGGATCCTAAGCTACGCGCAGGGCAGGGCTCCCTCTTCACATTCCCATCACTGCCTAGCCCTGGGCCCCACTGCTGAGCATAGAAATAGTTTGGACCTTCCCAAACGATTGGATTGTTCAAATAAAAACAAAACAGGAGACAAATGACCAGTTTTAGAAAGAGAGAGAGAGAAAGAGAGAGAGATGGTGCTTATTGGAGTGGTCCGATGAGAGGCGGGGAGAAAAAGAGACCAAGGAGAGAAACAAATACGTCTGACTTACGTGAGGACATAATTGACACTCACGATGCAGTGGGGCCGGGACGAGCGGCTGTTGTGCACGACGGTGGCGTAGCTCTGCACCCACACCCAGCCGCCCAGCTTGGACAGCAGCCGGTAGTACTTGGTGGTCACCTGGCCCTTCACCAGCACTGCAAGCACAAGGTGACATGAATCCTCCAACACGTCGCAGGCCCTCTCCCGGGGATGCTGCCCGCACGCGTGACCTATACCCCAGCTTCTGAACCTTTCTGGAGCCACGGATACCTCTGAGGATTGACAAGGGGGGGTGGGCTTTCTCCACAGTGAGGTGCATGCTTGTGCAACACACACACACACACACACACGCACACACACACGAACCTTGCCCACAACTTCAAGGATTCCTCCCCTCCCCTGTCAAGAACTCTAATGATCAGCCGCTGCTCTCAGCAGGGGAGACAGCTCCCAAACAGCGTTTGTACTGGAGAGAGAAAATTGGATTTGCTTTTTAGTTTCAAAATGCCACTGTTATATTTTAATCCCCCAAACCCTTCATGGGCAGAGGGTGAGTGATGTAGATATTAAAACAAAATACTAAGTGCATTCAACTCAGAGTCACACTGGTGCTGGTTGGCTGTCCACCAGGACACTGTATTCGCAGCAAGCCGTGAGTTACTCTCTTGCCATTTGTATCCTTTCCATTAACCCCAGTTTTCCTCCCGCCCATTAACTTTCTGTGTTGCTCATGTAGGAAGGGCCTCTGCTTGGCCTCGCAGTTGCTGAAAATGGGACCTCTGGGCCCATCTTCTGTGCATGGGTGCAAACTCTGGGCTTCTGACAGCTCACCCAAAGCCTCGGTGTACCCATAAACCACAATTCCCCCCATAGCCTTTGAGGAGGCAGATAGGGAGGGCTGGTCAGGGAGGAAAGTGCGAGAACCTGCAGGTGGGGGCAGTGGAGAGGAGAAAGCCAAGTTAACCTTCTCTAGGGAGGGGGAGGCCAGCACAAGTCTAAAAAGGCACCCCTGGACCTCCGGTCTCCAGCTCCAGAACATTCCTGCTTTTCAAGGCAGGGCTGGCCTCCAGTCCCTAACTAGCAGCTGTCTGAGCAGAGATCCTGGGGAGGTGGCCACAGGGGCTGGGTCTGTGACTATGCTAGCTGATGCTGAAGGAAAGCCCCAGGGCTCATGTACAACCCAGCCCTCGTGCTGTTCCACTAGACAAAGCCCCCCCACCCTCTGCCCAAACACCCCCGGGCCCTCCACTGCCTTTTGAGGCTTCTTGTCACTTTGCAGATGGCTCTTTACCATCCACTTTAACACCCACATGAAAATATTTTGGTGCAGAAGAAAAAATGCTGCAAATATAATAGTCAAGGAATTACTCGCCTTAATATATAAATAGTACATGCAGATTGATGAAAACACTAAGACCCTAAAAATAATGTGGGCAAAGGACATGAACAAACAATTACTAAAGAATAGATGTAAATGGGCAAAATGACAAAGAAGGGCTCCGCTCACTTGTTTACCTCGAAGGTAGATACACCTAGCAAAGCAGCAGACATTAAAAAAGAAACAAATATTGTACAATTCCATTTACATGAAATGTCCAGAATAGGCAAATCCATAGGGATAGACAGCAGATTAGTGGTTGCCAGGGGCTGAAGGAGGAGGGGGACTGGAAATGACAGGTCTCTTTTTGGGATGATGAAAATGTCCTGGAATTAGATAAAGGTGATAGTTACACAACATCGTGAATACACTAAAAACCAGTGATGAGGGTTAAAAAGGTGAATTTTATATTATATGAATTTTATCTTTAAAAAAATGTAATGACAGCAGGTGATGCTGGCTAATCCCTGGTAAGAGGTGTTTTCACATGCTGATGGGAGGACAAATAGATTCGATCCTTCTGGAAAGCAATCTGATAGCTCATGCCTATTGACACACTGATTTCACTTCTAGGAATTTAGCCTATGGAAATTATGAGAAATGCAAGCACAGACTTATAAGCAAAGAGAGTCACTGCAGTCTTGCTTAAAATTCAGAAAAAAGGTCTGGGGGAGGCTTAACTGTTCAACAGTGGGGAAAAGAGTACATAAATTATGGAGTACTATGCAGCCATTAAAATGATTAATAAGAACGTGTAGTATTAAGGGAAATGTTTATCATACAACGTTAAGTGAAGAAAATACAAGATTCATAAATGTATAAAGTATAACCCATGTGGACACGGGTACACGCACACTCACAAGCTAACTGCATGATCTTGGATGAGTTACTGATCTCCCTGTGCCTCAGTTTCCTCATTTATAAAAAGAGGAAAACCATAGTCCTTATATCATATGGTTGTCATGAAGATCAGACAAACTACTTAAGATTTAGAACAGTGGCAGACAGATGAAGGGCTCGATACATGTCAACCCTCATTATCTGACTGAAAATGACAGGTAATTTTCATTTCCTTCTTTTCAGCTTTTCTTGATTTTCTAAATTTCCAACGATGAGGTTTGAATTTTATAACCAGAATAAAAAAGTAGTTATTTTTTCCCATGGGAAAGCAGTTTGTGTGGGGGTTGGGAAGCAGAAATACAATATCCACCAGCCCACCCCCCTCAGGGCCAGAGCTGGGGTCCCTGGCACTCCCACTGCGTAACAGCCATCCCACCCTGCCGTGGCGGCAGAGACAGCGCAGAACCAGCCCTTTTCTGCCTGGACTTAACATGGCATCTCAACAGACTCGCTTGGTGGGAACAAAACCCATGCTGGAGGGTGTAGACAGAGGCGGTAGGATAGAGAAGCTTTATAATGCATCTCCTTTTGGGATTTGCTTTTTTAACAAAAAATCACATGGTTTCTATTTCCAGCTCATTTTCACATGCACTGCCTCCTTCTACCCCCTCCACAACCATGGGAGGTGGGCACAGCTAGGAAACTGGGGCCACCAAAGCCTGAGGGTGCAGCCCAGGTGTTCTCAGAGTGGCAACTGTGGGAGGAGGGGGCAGTGGCCTCCAGAAGTTCTCTGGGGTGGGGTGAGCCCACCTTTTAAAGGAGCCTCAGTCAGGCAATTTTCCTAGGGCACCAAAATAACTAATCGAAGCGACATGATCAAACTGAAGTCCCATCTGTGGATTTCCTGAGATGTCATGCTTTCTTCCACGGAAATGCTTATGGATCTCTTCAATTTTGAAATCTATTCCTAGAAGGGTTTGTAAAAGTCCTAGGATTATGACTATATACTTTTCCTAGCGACATGATCAAACTGAAGTCCCATCTGTGGATTTCCTGAGATGTCATGCTTTCTTCCACGGAAATGCTTATGGATCTCTTCAATTTTGAAATCTATTCCTAGAAGGGTTTGTAAAAGTCCTAGGATTATGACTATATACTTTTCCTTTTCCTGTCTTGTACTTCATACTTCCTCTTATTTCTTGCAACATTTCTAACACCTATCCGTAATCATCTTTACCTGATAAAATGAAGCCAGTTCATCCCAAATATTGTATACTAAGAATCAAATTACAGAAATTACGGAGATTTTATTACGTCTGACCCTCCTGACTCTGCTGCAATGAGGCTCGGATCCAGAGACCAAACAGACATATACATATGATTTATGTTTTGTTTCTCTCTGACCCCTGGCACTAGTCAACATATCAGTCCAAGGTGAAATCATGCACACTTAGTCACACATTCTGTGCTACAGTCCTCCCTCCACTCTGTCATCCTTAATTAGCTGCCTAAAATGATCTCACGCTAGAGGCTATAAAGTAAGGCCCTCCTGCTGGTGGTGATGGACAGGGACATGGAGGAGATGTCTCCTATCAGCTCCTGAGGGCAGATGCCTGCACCACACCTCTGTGCCTCTACAGTGTCTCCAGTTCACGGTCTGAGATGGCTCTGGGTTCAAGATGATCCATGCATAGATTAAAGCCAATAGTCTTAGTTGTCCAAGGCCACTTTGGGATGAAAAATCTAGTTCCATAAATATACTATCCAAGGCTGGCCAGTTAGGTCACCTGGTTAGTGCATGGTGCTGATAACACCAAAGTCCAGGGTTCGATCCCTGTACTGGCCAGCCACCAAAAAAATCCCAAAAATACTATCCAGAAAACTAAGTGGCCTTCCTAGTCCTGAATTTCTCCCCCAGGCATAGCCATGTCTGGGAGCCAACCTCTGGGAGGAAAGTTGAACTCTGGCCTCGAGCATAACTTCTATTCCTGTTCTGGATTGGAAGATCTAAAAAGGACATCAAAAATGCCTGTCATGGGTTGAATAGTGTCCCACCAAAAGATACCTATCACATCCTAACTCTCAAAACCTATGAATGTGAACTTATTTGGAAAAAGTCTTTGCAGATGTAATCAACTTAAGGATCTCAATAAGAAATCATCCTGGATTATGCAGAGGGACCCTAAATCCAATGACAAATATCCTTAGGAGAGACAGAGGAGAAGGCCGTGTGAAGAAGGCAGACTGGGGTGACGCAGTCACAAGCCAAGGACCACATGGGGCCCCTGCAAGCTGGAAGAGGCGAAGACATCTCCTTCTCTATGGCCTCTGGAGGGAGCACAGCCCTGTAGACACCTTCACTGCAGCCTTCTGGCCTCCAGAACTGCAGAGGGTAAATTTCTGTTGTTTTAAGCCACCTAGTTTGTGATTTGTTATGGCAGCCCTAGCAAACTCATCTGTTACCCTACAGGGATAAAATGGTAAATGCAATCCCTGTGCTCTCATAGTTCTTGCCTCTCCTGCCAGGTGGGGTCTCAGAGTGAATTTAGTCGGTTACGCTGACACCGAGCCACACGCTCCTTTGCGGACTGTCTCCAGTACACTTGCGTTTCCCAGCGCAACCCTGACATGCTACCTGCCGGGCAGAGGGCAGTTCGATTGGTAAGAAGTCGTGGAATGCCCTGGGGAAGAGTGGAGCATCCTAGTGAAGAGTCCACAAGGGCCACTTGTGGAATGTCTCCAAAGTGACACAGGCCGTGGAAGACTGACTATGCCTGACCTGTGAATTCCCTTTGGCACTGAGCAGAAGGGACAGTCTACACCTATAAATGTCCCAAACCTGCTTCCAGGGATCTGGATGACATCTGTGATTATTTACTGTTTCGTTGCTTATGGTTCCCTCAGTGCGCAGCCTTCCCCCCACCTTCATCAATTCCC